CCTGCCTGCATCCAGTTCATCATGCTGATTCTTTCTACTTTCAGCATTTTGACAGCTCGGTTTCGTGAGATTGACATCCTTTGGCCCGAGGTATGGGTCAATGCAAAGCAGGTCGGGACGGGACTGAATCCAGTCCCAGTAGCAGTTCTCCATGCACTGGAGAAAAGTTCACCCACTCCTGTCAATTATTAGAAAACAGCCATTTGGACAATGCCACAACCCTTTATCCCCATCTCATCCATATGTAGCCATAATTTGATGACGACCTCCGAACGATTGAAGATATTGGTGTTGTTGAATAGAACCAGTCGCTCGCCCACGAGCAGACCCAAATTCGTATATTGATCTCCATCATGGATGACAATTTCGATCTGTGAAAATATTGTAAATCCTGTTTCAGCTTATGTGCTTGGGGCCAAACCCTGGTATAAGGTACTGGAGTTTATAAGCTACAGAAGGTTATAAGCTATGGCCATGTGGCCCAAGTTGGTACTGGACTTTTATATCAATAAAAGGAGTTTATAAGCTACTAGCGAGTTTGTTTGCCCTACGGGCAAAAAACTCGCTATAGTCGCGCCTTCGGCGCTCCATTAACTTGAATAGATATTAATTCATTTATTCTTTGCGAAATTGCAAACATGTATTTAAAGTACGTCCCCATTGAAATACGTGACGTATGGGGACGAAAGTCTTGATTTTTATCAAAATCATTACTTCTATGATTTATATTGTGCCTAACTTGAAATCTTTTCCTGTGTACCTTTTTGCAAGGGTGGAGAATGCATTTTGAAATACTTCAATCCTGTAATCTACGCCAAGGGGACATATTTCAAAAGTAGGATGTTTTCTCTACTCACCCATCAAACAGGCACTTATGAGGGATGTTTAAATTTTCTGTTTCTGTTTCGTTGGATCAAAAACAAATTCAGAAAAATGGGATTGAAGTAATGCCTTGATGGGTTTTAACGAAAGTTTTTTTTCTGAAATGTAGACTCAGGGAACTCCATGGCACCAAATTTCAGCCTTATACGTTTCCCCTTTTTGTTGGCAGAAAAAATGTTTTTGGAAAAACGACCCACCCAAAAGCTGTGGTCTGGGGAGATGCTTAGCGAACGTTGAATTTTTCCTTAAATTATCACGTCCGTTATGCGTGCGCCAGCTGCCATTTTTCTATTTCTGCCCGATTCGCTAGGATATTAAAAATTCTTTTGAAAACTTTATGTCTCTATGAATTATGCCCCCTAGAAATATTTCGGAAAATTGACATTTGGCATTTGAGTTGAGTGCTTCACCAGACACGTTCTTGCCATGTTACAGGTTTCCATCGGTCTCCGTTTGAATGAAGAAATTAGAATTAGCGTCAGTCAGTCAGTCAGTCACGATCGTCTATATATATTAGATGGGAGTATAAGCTATCAGAGACTTTGATGCGTGTAATATGTAGAAATAGGTGGGTTCCCCTGCATTCACAAGGCTAATGTTCCCTTAAATATGAACGAGTGGATCATTCTCACCTGGGAGTGCGTGGACTTATTGATCGATGTGAAGTGGAAGATGAAGGACATGGATGTACGAGTACAATCAGTTGCCCCGACTTGCCTTTCCTCATTTAATAAGAGTGTGAAGCACTTGAAAAAGATTGTGCCATTATCGTCCTCCCAAAATATTCGCTCAATCCAGCGCCCAGTCTCTAGCATCGAAAAAATGAAGATACATCATAGTCACGTTCTTGTTAACTGTGGAATAGTGCCGAGACTCACGGTTTACAAGGTCAGTCACAGTTTCTCCATTGACGGTTGTGAAATTAGTCAAAGTGGAGGGCGTGTAAGTGAGAGCGTCGCGCAATGAGACGGGAGCAGTGTATTGAATTTCTCAATTTCTCGGTCCGCCTCGTTTCCAAAAGAAACTCTTACTGACGGCTTTGGGCAGATGGTGAATGCTAGAGCCAGGACTTTCTGAACACTCTGTATTGTGTACAATGTCGCCGTTGGGAAAGAATTATTCTGGTGGATTATGATGAACACCTGTACTTTCCCAAAAGGGTAATAATATTTCAACATAGTGGCATCGCCTGAAAATTATGTGCTTCGCCTGCAATTACCTCTTTTGGGAGCAAGCGCTGCACATGCCACAATCAAGATGGACTTGGCGAGCTGCTTCTTCCCCTTTCTCGTTAGGTCTTTGCAATATTGAAATTCGTAACGTTTCAAAAATCGTTAATAGGATGTTACGATGTTTAATAGGATGCTACGATGATCTCACATTTCCGTCGCGGGGCGCCAGCAAGAAGATCTTGAGACAAGTGCTCCGCCGTCCGATTTTGTCGCGGCCTTATCGACAAGTATACTGAACTGCATGGCATTCATAATTGACCTTCACATGGCACTATGAAAAACCTTTCTCCGCACAAAATACATTTTTTATTAACACATTGAATATACGGATGGAGATGGCTATAGGAGATAGCCTTGTATCAATACTTTCGAAGCACGAAGAGGGAAACAATTGAGATCATGGCGATTGATTGTCCCTTTGAGCGATTTCATTCGGACACGTGCATACCCTTACGGAAATGTCCTATAGGAAACCTATAGTTATTTCTTATAGGATACCTATAGACTTTCCTATAGGTTTTTGAAACACGAAAAACCTATAGGATCCTTTAGGATCCTATAGGATCCCTATAGGGTCTTATAGATCTCCTGACCTATAGGATTCGGGGAGGATATTTTGGGTTTCGAAACCCAGGCATTACGACGAAAAGGCGACCGGGGTTAATATTGGCGCAGCATTTCTGTGTAAATCAAAAAAACCGATTAGGGGTTTTTCCATGGTAGGGACACATCCTTTATTAATACCAGTACTGCGGGGGTCTGCATAATTTATGGCCCCGACCTATATGCATCGCTGGGTTGTACATCTACTTCCTTCGGTAGGAAGAAGTAGTATTCTTCTTTCGACCTGAGGAAATAGAAGCCAGAACATGCGAGCCCGTCTCTTTACTGAAACTCCACTTGGATAGTCTACTCAGTTTCGTACGTGGTCTTCAAAAAGAATAAGGGCATATTTCTTCACGGGACTCCATGATTATATCTGGAAGATGGGCATGACAAATTAGGAACTGTCAAAGTTAATTGATTGCTACAATGAGGCAAGGCGAGACATTTGGGGACGTACAAAACTCTCTTGTGAGAGATGATTCCTTGGGTAATGGGAGGGCACTTTTGTGCCCTTAGAGAAATGCGAGAACCCAAAACTTCCATCTAGTGGCCTAGAGGAGAACTTCAAACGGAACCCTATAAGCCTATAGGGTTCCGTATAAGCCCTATAGGGAACCCCATAGGTCCTATAGGTCGTATAGGGAACCCTATAGGTCCTATAGAGAATCCTATAGGTCCTTTAGAGAATCCTATAGGTCCTATAGCGAACACTACAGGTCCTATAGGNCCTATAGGAAAGTCTATAGGTATCCTATAAGAAATAACTATAGGTTTCCTATAAGACATTTTCGTAAGGGTGCTAATATGCAAGACTGCTTCAATATGCACTCTGGACTAAAGTAAAGCGAAACTACGATAATTCCGAGGAAACAACGTCGACTAATGATAAAAACACCCAGATACCATCGAGTATTTCAAAGATTATCACGCTTCAACGATCATGGGAGCAAACCATGTTGAACGGCTCTTGAAAACCTAAAACATGATACATCTTCACAAAAAGTCCATTGGTGCCAGTTCCAGCGACCATGCCCTGTTCCAACTTCAGCATATCAACCGCTCAGGAAACTGAATTCTTTATTCACTGGCGCTGTCAGCATGGTGTGTTATTCAGTTGTCTGTCTATCTTTCCACTATTGCAGAACTGCTCGGTCAAGTAAGCCTGAAATTTAAAAGAAATGTATAGTTTTTTTCATGAAAATAGATAGGGACTTAATGGATAACCTGTACATCGCGTCGAATTGCAAATTATGACTCTATCTAGTTACAGTCCCGCATTCAATTTCACCGAAAATGAGGTATAACCTTTCCCTTTCAACTGGAGAAAAGGTTCAAGAGAGAAAGCAATGTGGAAACGTGGATTAGTTCAATATATTTTCATTGTTCTCCCACACTAACCGAACTGCGTCCGAAATTCTTCAATATATGATATAGTCATTGTCAATCCGGAATTCTGGCTTTCCAGGTTTAAGTTATGTAATCTCTGAAATCTTGTTCTCTCCACATTATTCCTCGGCAGCAAAGTAAGCAAAGTTTCCTAACACGTTATAATTAGGGCTGTCACGATAGCAGTTTTCAAAACATCGATGCATCGACCTAAACTATCGATAGTGTATCGATGCATCGGGGGGGGGGGGGGGGCGGAGGATTCCATATTTTCTCGCCGCGATCGGAGCGCGGACTTCTATCCGGCTTCCATAATCTCACGCTTGTGATCAGGAGTGCAAGGGGAATGTGTGACCTTCGCAAAGAATAATGAAACCTACTATGCCTCCAACTATCGAAGATGACATCCTACTTTTTTCCCTTCTCGTCTTTCATATAGTCAAGCCCAGCATTTCCAGAATTTGATTGGCTTAAGAAATTGCTCGCCCATGCGGGGCGGGGTCACGACGTTTCTTCCTTTCCCCGCCCGGGCGGACTGTATTGTAGAGTACTCGCCTCAATCCCATGAGACATTTCCCCTTTAAAACATTTTGCCGATGCATCGCGATGGTCGAAAAAACTATCGATATCTCCAACTATCGATAGTGGTATCGATGCATCGATCTATCGTGACAGCCCTAGTTATAATCACTTCGCTGCCAGTTTCCTAGAAGGTGCATGTATTGTAACTGTGGTCATAATGACGCGTAAAATACCACCTTGGGTGTTAGAATTGAAAGGGGTTGAGTCAGGTTGTGAAGCTAATGGCATTATTAGGAAACAGTATTATCCCCTCCCAAATAGCTCCCTGCACTCGAGATACATTCCTTCCTAAGTCCATGAAAAGCTCGGAACATGGGTGTGACCTATTCTTGGCAACCTCCTTCAACGCGATGGTCGCAGATGACTGGAGAGCGTCTGCGTCGTCGAAGCGGTGGCGTGTCAGCGGGAACTTCCTTCCCATTTCCCACCATCTTTGGAGCCAGAATTTTCTGGAGACTACTTGGACTGGATTACCTCTGAATAATGATTTGTTGAAGAATTCAAATATCTTCCCCTCTGGTTAGTGAGGGGAAAGATCAGTCACCGTGTCGAAGGTATTGGGGACTACGAGACCTGTTCACGGCTGATTTGAACACATTTCCTCCCCGTGTAACGGCATCCTTGCCATCAGATGAAACAATTGACCTTGCTCCTTTGTTGAACTTACTTCTTGACAAGTTGTTTTCAAGTCCCTTTGTGAGAAAATTCAATTCGCAATGAAACCTTTGGCGAAAGAAGTCGAAATAGTCATACGAAGCCTTTCCATGGAGGGAAACTCCTACAGGGTGATTCAGAAGAAATGTAAAAATTGCGGATGGCATCTTTCAGTCGGATCAATATCCAACGTAATCAATAACATTGGTGAGAAGCGGTTGGCAGCTCATCTTGGCTATCCTGACCCAGTCAAAAAACAGCCCAAGTCTGTGAGGACTAAGTCGATGGTCAAGAAAGTCCGTGATATGGTCATTGGTGAAAATCCAAAGTCCCAAAAAGCGGTAGCGAAGAAGCTGGGAATAAGCCTTGGATGCGTCAATCGAATAATCCATGAAGATCTGTGCCTTGCAGAAAACGCAAAGTCCACAAGCTTCTCCCCAGACGCATCCGCGAAAGAAAGACTCATTGTCGGCGGCTCTATGAGAAGTATTTGGCTAGCGAAAAACACAAAAACTTGGTCACTCTGGATGAATCACTAAGTCATCTCTCTGATTGCAGCTAGACACGAGTCATCTACTATTAACAGAAGTCGGCAGCGGCCGTCGAACCTCTTTACCGAGAGAGGGCAGAGAGTTTCTCACCTGAATTCATGATCGTCGTTGCTGTGAGCTACAGAGGCAATCTGGATCTCCGAAAGATAGACAAAAAGGTAAAAATCAATTCCAAGTACTATCAAGAACAAGTACTGAGGCCCATGTTTGAAAAAGAAATCTCTCGCTTGGTACGGGAAAGCATGTAACAAAGTAAAGTTCTACCAAGACTAGGCCAGCAGCCACTTCTCTAAGTCGACTGTGGATTTCCTGGGAAGATTGGAGAAAGAAACAGGAATCGCCACCATTCCTCCCACTCATATCCCTGTGAAGTCACCTGACTGTGCCCCGATGGATTTCTGCGTGTTTGGAGTCCGCAAAGAGCGCCTCGCTCGTCGTACGGTGTCAACTGCGGTCGATCTATGGAAATCTTGCAAGGAGGAATGGAAAAAACTTCCTCTCTCCGCGATCCGACGAGCCCTTCAATGGAAATACCGGTGCCGAGCTATGTACAAAAACCACGGTTAGCCTATCGAGTGTGACGTAACAAGCAATCAATATTAATTGGTCACCTGTCCCGCTCCAGATTCGAGGGTTAAGGCAGGTTCGCCAGACAGAAATTCTGGAGAAATGGAAACCCTCGTGATCTTTCCAAGTAAATTACTTAACTTTATAGAGATTAAATTATTGCCTTCTTTTTGGACACAGTCTTTCAATTGTCATCCGTCGTCTCATTAATGGCTTCTCCTATCTGTGGAGCGAGGCCGGACTCTTCGCCTTAGATTCCTAATTCGTATCAAATCAACTTGAAAGAATCAAAACACTTTCCTTCAATATGCAATATTAGGATTAACAATATAACACATGAAAGCCAATTTCTCAAAGGTTATACAAAAATTAACGTTTCATTTCATTACAACAGACCATTAGGAAGGGAAGAGAAAGGTGGGGAAAATATTAGAGTAGAAAAGGATGAGATTCCTGCAACTCTCTTTTTGACACCTCAAGAGTAAACAGTATATTTCCTCCTTCTCTTCTTTTGTAAAAGGGCGGAAGACCCCGTTCTTCACACGAGCATTGCAAGGCACCAATGGATTTTTTGTGAAGATTTATCATATTTTATGTTTACTACCTGCAGAAGCTTACAACTTGAATTTACGCTGCAGTTGAATCCACCAGCAACGTTGCGCAGCGCAATCAAGGCTACCACCGACTAGTGGCAAGAATGCAGAGACGTGAATAGTGGATATGTAAAGATGAACTAATGCTTCTTGAAGAAACAATGCATAATTGATTTATGTACAACAATTTCAAAAAATGAACCTACAATGTAAAGGAAATTCATCTTTTTTCATGAAAATAGATAGGAACTTTATGGACACTCTGTACAGGTATACAAATATCTATTACTGTCATTCATGTCTCAATGACAGCCCTGGAATGTTCACAACTAACTTCAGCATCATTTCCTGTTTACAGAGGGCAACGAGACCGAAACAATGAGAAGCAGCTAGGAGACGAAACCAATCGGCGCGTTTGGTGAGTTCAGTGAACGACCTAATTTCATTATATTCTCAACTTAAATGCCCACGACCAGACGCTGTGTAGTGCTATCTTTAGTGGCTTATATACAAATGAGAGTGTAGCTATCAATACTATGGGCAAGAAGTAAATCCACTATCGGATCATTAAACGACGTACTGAAGTTTCACCTGGCGAACATCATGAAGTAATATGACATCATTATTAATCGTTTCTATTTATAAAAACAAATTTTCTCTTTTTTATGGTTCGAACATCGAAGGCGCGAGCATTGCCAAGCTCATTAATAAAGGTGAAGGTTAATAAAAACAACATGTATTTGTGCATTTGTTTCGATCCATATACGCATGATTTGATATTTTTACCCTTGAGACTAATCCTCTGAGAAAAAACGAAAAAACAACAATATGTGTGTTTGGTTTTTTAAATTCACCCTTAATAAACTGATTTATGGAATATTCTCTAAGTGACGTGTCATGATCATTCTCTGCCTTATTACTGATAGGTGAAACCTGTTGGAAAATGTTAGAAATATAGCCCGATCATTTTTGTAATGCAGATCCCAGCAGATGGCATATGTAGAAAGCGTGGGGACTGCCTTCACCCTTCTGGAACTCAATGACCAAAATGTTAGGGGAAGAATGTTCAACATAATTCCTCCGCCAATTGATCTCAACAAATGTACAGTAAACATCAGCTTGGATGCTGTGATGCAAATTTAGAACATTGATTGAGATTGACCGCATATTACTTCTCGCATGGGTGGTCTCTTTCCATTCACATAGTCCGTGTTTTTTTAAAATGAAATATGCATCAAACGCTCAATATCTTTTGGTGAACATATTTTGACCTGGTCGTCCTGACATCCGCCTGATGAAAATGGTCAGCTCATCCACTGTTGGTCATCATATTCTGTGGGAAGTCCAGTTTTATTTATTTATCTCATTAGGTATTTTGACTGTATCGATATAAGCAAAGTTCACAATGGCTGGATCGAAGTGCGCTTGGAGGGACTTCTTCCGCCCTGCACATCTAAGACCCATTCATCTGTCATCATCCTCACCATGCTTGAGTCTTCCGAAGTCGAACTCACCCTCTTCCAAGAGGGATTGAGGTAATTCCTCAACTCGTGCCTGATTCCTATAGGTTACCGCTGTCTGAAATCGATAGCACATATTTTCTCGTACTGGTAACCTGGTGATCCTTCATGATTTTATCTCCTTCCTCCACTACCTTCATTCATTTAATATATGTAATTTTTCGGACCATCTCTCTGCAGACAGTGAAGTGATGAACCCTCATTTTCGTCATATGCCAGGAATTCATCGAGATCTAATCGATACCAACAGGACCTAAGCATTCTAGTCGTGCGAACCACCACCGAGCGATCGGACCAGCCCGTTTTCGGGAGTTACGTGACTCACGGCGGGGGACACGTTGGGGGTTGTGCCGACTGCCATTCTGTGCTCGAGATTGGCCAGTACCTCCTTTGCCCTATGTCTTACAATCACTGGAATACTGGTATGTTTGCTTCTTTATTTTATTTACCTTAGACAAACTTGCAGACTTAGATTAGTTCCATCATTAGGTAACAAATATGAGAATTTCCCCTGGTGGGTTAAACATGGCTCAGCATGGTGCCACGAATGAAAAACCATGACGCCTGGCATTCCATAAGAACACCCATATGCACATAGCCTTTGCTCTTTGAAGTTTATCATGTTCCAAACATCTACCGCGTCACTTACTAACGGGATTGATGCACTCGTTTACTGACTTTGGGCAGGTATGGAGGATGCACAGCAATATCCGATGTCCTAGCTCTGCACAGTTCACTGGCTGTTTTTGCCGAGAAAGTCACTGCTGGACGTATAGTAGTACGCCTACCGTAGTAACGTGAATGGAACCGGTTTCCTGTATCTGCACTCCAGTCTCCTATAAGGACCTTTTCGGGTTCAAACACAGCTTTAAGTACCTAACGCTAGTCGTTTTAAACGTTTCATATTTGGCATGGAAACCGAAATTGTTTGCAGACCAATCACCCTGTTGGAATCAAACCGGTTTTGTTATTTGCAGGTACTCGAGGGGATCACGGCGTATTGCCTGGCGAAAGGCTCGGGGGGTCAGGAGCACTGCTATCTTTTAGCTGTCGGGCTCTTGACCCAGGTTCACTACACGCTAACGCGCTTATCGAAGCCGCAGCAGAGCTGCTCTCCTCTCGACTTCTGCCAACTGAGGCAAGGGGGGAACGTAAGGTACCACCTTCCGTCATATTCGATTCTTTGGAAAATTTTTGGAGAGGTGATATACGTTTCGTGTGGAGGACCTCAGCTTGAACTGAAATATTGTTAACTTTGGACGAAAAGATATGGAAATGGGAATAATTTGATACGAATTAGGAATCTAAGGCGAAGAGTCCGGCCTCGCTCCACAGATAGGAGAAGCCATTAATGAGACGACGGATGACAATTGAAAGACTGTGTCCAAAAAGAAGGCAATAATTTAATCTCGTCTCACGGGATATCAGGAAACACAATGTCTCAGGCGCTTGAAGATTGGCGACGGTGGGATTAGAGAAAGACGGAATGTACTATGAGTATTCAAATGAAAAGGGACTTTTAGGCCCATACCTTAGACTACCCTTAGTTTACCCCTAGGATACCCTTAGGTTACCCTTATGTTATGAGTAACAGTCGTTCCCTTTTCATTTGAAACCCCATAGTACAATCAGTTCCTAGGGAGGGTTGCCGAGCCAGCAGCCACAATATTCCCCGATTGTGTCGAGAAATAAGCCTTTTAATTTCCCTCCCCATACGAATAGAGATATTCCAACTTTGTGACATTCCCGGGCATGGGAAGTGCATCCAACTTTAAAAGACAACTACAATTGAAGTGAAGGACCGGACACAAACGACTGACTTGAGGACCAGGGCACAAAAAACTGACAGGTGGAAGACGAGGAAACGTGATAGGAAGAAACGTGCGTCTAACACAAGATGCAATAAATATTTACAGGGAAGCATACCTGTCATGCGACATTGCCCATGCAGGACGGCTGCTAGCTTATAGTCTTCTTAAGCGCTCAAGGGCTCTATCCCTTCATAGAGATTTTATATTTTAATGTTGGTCATACGAAGCATACGTGGAGCTCATGATTCCACGAAAAAGTTACAACCTTTCTTCCATGCATATTTCTTCTCCAGACAGGTGGTGATGGTGCTGACCCAGCTGGAGGGGAGCGGTGGTTACAGAATCTCCTATCAAATGTCTTACTGCATGATGCCAGGCGCAGGACTCCGTGACAGGAGGTTCCCGAGTGCGAACCACCATCCACCCCTGACACATTCCGTGTCCGGCCTGCACACACCTCGACCTATCTGATCCTTTTTTTAATTTTTTTTTTCATTGTTGAAATTCTCTTGAAGACATCGGGTGTTCTGTTCGTTGAGTGCGACACTCGTATATACGTATTTTTATATTGAAAACTTTAAATAATATATGTGCCGAGGCCTAGGCAAGCATGCACTTTAGTCTTGATTGCAGATATGCACACCTAAACAGAATTTTTGGCTGCAGAAAGCTTTTTTTCCCAATAACCACGACTTCAGTGCGAAAAAGTGGCTGGTGCCCTGCTGAAGAGGAATTTTTCGACCAGTCTTACGTTTTCATGGGTCGCCATCACCGTCAAGTCTTTGAATGCCTTCAGAAAGCATGACTTGCCATGAAGGGCAGATTTTTGTACTCCACTAAAAGAGGGGGAGTTTCATTTCTGACTCTTAAGGCACGAGGCATGGAACACTCTTTCAAGAAATACTATTAGACACTGTCTCCACTTTCAATTAAGCCCGAAAGGTCTTTCCAAATTCAATTAGGACCCACGACTGCCGTTTGATCCTGTGATCTTTGAGGAAAAATCTCTCCGTTTTTCGCCTAAGTGCTGAAAATATGGATTTTTTTATGTTTTGGTCTGCTCCATATGAAAAAAAATTTCCTCTCGCAAATCCCTGTTGTGCGCGGGGCCAAAATTTTCCAAAAAACACGCCCACTTTCCCTGAAATACCTCCCACTCATTCATTTCCTAAATTGTTGTGATTCCTTTTTTTTTATTAATTTTCATCATTCCTTAATATGGTAATTCAAATATAGTCGAATTACCATATTAATGAATAATGGTGCCTTAGAGGAGAGTCGGGAAGACCCCAAACTCACTTAGCAAGGATCATTTGGCAAAAGCCAAAACTTCCCTAGGTTATATTTGACATTTTTGTGAAATTAAACGGAGTTTTTCGCTATGAGAAAAGTACGGACAAATATAACTTTTCCAAACCTTAGGACCTCGGTTGCTCCGCAACGGAAGAGTGGATGTTGAAGATATAGCGTGCGCGATCCTGGCCGCTAGTTAGGCCGATCAACAAATGCGTATTTGTGCGTGTGTTTGTGCTGCACGGGCTAGACCAGAGCTTTCCCACCTTTTTCACGCATGACCTCCTAAATCATGATCATACCATTCAGGACCCCAAGAACTGGCCGAAGTTCGACAGACTCCCCCACCAATGCGCTAAAATCTCAAAGAAAAATAAAACTTGGTTTTTAGCTGCTGGGTCGCGACCCTGGGTTGGGAAGCGCTGGGCTAGACGCCTCGAGATATGAACTGGGGGGTTTAACACACATCTTCCTCATCATCCGAGGATGTGCCTTCCCGAAAGAAATTTAAAGATAAGCCCCAAGAGAAGGGAGAAAAGTTTCCCGGAATATCAGAGTTTCACTCTCGCCTCGCCATCTGCAGGATGAACGATGAAACGAGAGTTGGGGCGGAACTCGCCAAGGGATGCTGGCATCGCCTCTGGCCTGCTGCCTCAATTCCAAGGATTCCGAGCCTCCGTGATGAATTACGTGATGAATTAATGAATTAAATGACGATCCGTGAGTTCGTCGCTCCTTGCTCGGCAGACCCATCGCCACAGTTTTTTTCGTCTGGCCTCCAATCTGCAGGGTTGCGGAGCGACGGCTTTGGGAAGCAAGCGAGATCCCATATTTAAAAAAAAATGTTTGTTTTTGGAAATTGCGTCTTTGATTGGATGTATGGACGTTTTTGTGCGTCGATGAAAAATTAATACTTTAAAAATCGCTGAAATTGGCGTGCATCATTACACACACCCTGCGCGTCCCAGGGATATCAAAATTTGGTGAAAACAAGTTATAATTGAAAAGCTCAATTGCACGAGAACACGAATATTTAGTTTCTGCATTGATGTTTACGTCGGCGTTAAAAATCGTATCAGGTCAGAAGAGTAGAGATTGCTGACAGTGTCGATTCAAAAGGGGTTTGCACGGGCCGTCTGCGGAATCCTTGCGTTTTTTTGCGATGCAAGTGCGAAGCCCGCGAATGAAGAGAGAGAGAGAGAATAGGAATTGTGACAATCCGCAGAAAATACAGAAGGCAAGACAACACGAACCAGGCAAGAAGCTGCTTCAGTCACTCGTCGACCGCTTTAAACGTCGTCGTTACGTGTTCGTCCTCTCTCGCCGTCCATCTCTTCGAACAGGGAAAGTGGGCGTGCTTTTTGGGAAATTTTCGCGCACAACAGGGATTCTTTGTTAGAGGAAATTCTTTTTTCATAGGGAGCTGCCCAAACCATAAAAAATTCCATATTTTCGGCACTTAGGCGAAAAAAGGAGAGATTTCTCCTCAATCAAACGGCAGTCGTGGATCCTAATTGAGTTTGGAAAGACCTTTCGGGCTTAATTGAAAGTCGAGACAAAGTCTAATCGTATTTCGTGAGTGTTCATGCCTCGTGCCTGAAGAGTCAGAAATGAAACCCCCCCTATTTTAGTGGAATACAAAAATCTACCCTACGTGGCAAGTCATGCTTTCTGAAGGCATTCAAAGACTTGGTGATGGCGACCCATGAAAACGTAAGTAAGACTGCCGCGAAATTCCTTTTGAGCAGGGCACCAGCCACTTTTTCTGACTGAAGTCGTGGCTATTGGAAAAAAATACACTTTGATGACAGATACTGACGGTAACTTCGTAGAAATTCAGCCGAATGCTTCAACACATAGTAAATAATTATCCCCTCGCACTGACGCTGGAGATAGAGGCAATGACTCATGTCTCGAGATGGGTCCCAATGCGCTTCTGTTGAGTGGAGGCTCTCCTGGACGCCTCTCCCTATGAGGAACGATATCTTCTATCTTCGAGAATCGGTTCCGACGGGAGGCAAGACCGGAATGGGCGCTTCGGCTTCCGAGGATCCGAGCGAGGCTCGTTTAGGTTTGGGTGGCAGGTAGGGGATTTCGTGGAACACAATCATTTGAAATTATATTTCTCCGTGCAATATAGAAAAGGTGATGATTTTTTTCCTCCAATCGTTTAATGGATTCCTCTCTCATTCTCTCTTGGCCGAACTGGCGATCCTTTGGCCATTTTACTATCCGGGCTCGTTGCGCTTCGTCAGTGTCATCGAGTGTCTATTATGAACTTTCCGGTCGTTTTCACCAGATGTGTTGTTATAATCTTAGTATAATAATCTTAGACTATCCTTATCATTATTCATTAATATAATTACATAACATCATTTATAGGTTATTAAGCATTGGCCTTTGTGGTTATGTTTAGGGTAGGTAAACCTTGATGAAAATGAAAATTGATCAATTTCATCAGAATGTGTTCATTTCAGGAAATTTGACGAGATGTCAGTTTCTGAAACAATCCTCCGAAGGCAGTGGCCGATTTTCCTGGAATATCTCGATGTCGACGCGATTTCCCCGATTCTCATCTCCAAGTACGTCCTCCCGGTGGACTGGATGGACAACGGGGAGAAGCCGCTGAGGGCGCGCGAGAAGAGGGAGGCGATCCTCAGGATCGTCCGCGCGAAGGGTCGGACAGGGTTCCAAGCCTTCAGGAAGGCCCTGGCGCAAGTCGGACAGTCGCATCTCGTGTCGTCGCGCGCCTTGGACGCGTTGCCGAGCCAAAAGGCGTGCCTTCCCCTTGCGGATGATGATGCTGGCGTGGCAGCCTTCATGAAAGGTGCAGAGTTCTTCAGTGGATGTCATCCTCTATTTTAAATTTAATTTAATTTCTTTTTTTAATTTTATAGTCTGGACATTCCTTGAAAGTAAGAGGTTCCCAAATCTTTGCGGAAGGTGTCTACCTTTCCCAAAAAATCATAGGTAGATAGAACTTATCATCGAATCGTTCATGATGAAGAAAAGTTCACGGAAACTTCAGACATCAAATTCTCGAGTTGAAAGAAAGTCTGCGGCGGCGTTGCCGGCCAACACCAACAAAGCTCACACCCGAAAGCGTAAAAAACCCATCCACGGTCGTGTGATTTTCGAAACAATGCTGAAGAATCAGGAAAGTGGTCTCATCTTGCTCATCGAAGCCGAAATAGCTTTACTATGATATCACCTCGTATATCATGAGATATCAAGCATCCGCGAGTTTCCCAATCTACAGTATGAGAATGCACTTAAAAAAGAGTTAGGGGATTTATTGAAGATAATTTCATAAGAAATTATCAATTCGTCCTTTCTCCATTCCCTCTCATTTGGGAAGTTAAAGTCACGAAGCATTTACAATCTGATTTTTCTTGGGAAATGATCGACTCGCGTATCCATTTCAGCCTATCGAATCCAACAGACTTAATAGGAGTTCCCATTCTTTCCATGAAATTTTGGTCTTAATTTGTACAAAAGGGTATCGAGTGCCATTTTAAAATTAGATTACTGATATCGCCAATCGCGATCTCCTTCGTTGACCAGGTGCCCGGTCGAGATCCGCTCGCGTCTCTCTTCCGAATATCTCGTTCCCCATCTTCCAGGAATCTCGTCCTCATTCCTTAATGCCCGGCGAGCCTTCACCTGAAGACCGAGTTGATGCTGCTGAAGCGGTGGCCGTGTGAGTGCACCTAAGTTAACCCTTGTAGCCTTTCAGGGAGATTTATTCCATGTATTTGCGTATCAATAATTAATTGCAGTTCTGGTACCGATTGACGCTGGAAGATTTGTTTAGCTCGAAAAGAATTAATATATATAATGAAATTAGTGCAATTTCAATTCCCCATTCGATGGCATAAAAACCTTCCACCTTTCCATAATTCTTTTTTAAAGCTATTTTCTTTTCTTTGCTTTCAGGATGCTCGACGACGCTGAAGAGTCCAGGGACCCGGCGAGGCGGCGGCACCTTTGGGCTCTCGCGGCTTTCTTCTTCTTCCTCGTTCTGACCGCTCTTTTTTCCTCGCTTTCCTTTACATTGCTTATGTTTTTTCTTGCCGTTGTCCTGATTGTTCTTCTTTTGTTGTGCATTTGAACGCTTGGAATTTTTATTATTATTATTAAGCGAAGTGTATTTGCAGCGTTCATGAATGAAGTCGACTTAAACTCTTATCTCCTGTTGGAAAGTACTATTCATCCTTACGAATTGGAGGAAAATAAATATTCGTATTCTCTCAACGAATTACTGAACCATTGTTTCAATCGCTGAATCATCTGCTCATTTAATCTGAATCTCTTATCTTCTGAGTCGCTTATTATTTTCCTTCAGAAATTCACCTTTTGGCTTTTTGCTTTGGTACGATTACTGCATCAGAAAGGCGTTTCCGTGAGGATTAGATGTTTTTTTCTGTTTAATCATATAAGTGTTTAAATTTGACGACAAGGATATTTTGAGATTAAAGTACAGCTTATACGCGCAACTGCGGACTATCTCTATATGCAAAACTCATTGGTTCAATAAATATTGCTGAAAATGCTGTGAAATTGGAAATATTTACGGGAATTTTTAGTTTTCTCTCACACAGCAAGTAATAAAGGTGAGATCCCGCAATATCAAGGGTGTCCATGCTTTGTCGCTGGACATGAGATGAGCATTAAGGGTGCAAATGCCTCTTTTCAAGATGGCATCAGTTTTTTCGATAGGTAAATTACGCCCTTCGGCATCGCCCCATGCGAAATAAATATTCCCTTGGTAATTCTATCAATTGCCAATCTCCATCCTCGCCTCCAAGGTCCCCCCCCTCAGAATTCATTTTCACCTTTCAAGGGGGACGCATTCTTTCCCCTATTAAGAACACATTTAGTACTAGGTCTTCCCTATTGATTGACTATCCGCTTCAATTGATGTGAATCTAATAAGTTCCCGATATACATGTGTATAGTGCTGAGGATAATTTATCTAACCACCTATTCCTATTACTTGACGAGACACGCGTGTTACGTTGAGGAATCCCTTTGGGTCGAATCCCCGAATGAGTCGATTCTCGATTCCACTTCATTGAAGTGTTGTTGAAAACAAGCAATCATATGTTTCTGTAGTATTTCGACCCTTTACCCTTCGGAGTGTCGCCTCTACTTAAACTCTCTACTCTATGCCTATGTCTAATATTCTTTACAGTATACTGATATCTTCATGTAGAGTCCCTATATCGACGTATCTCTTCTCTAATCATCTTCCACCGTGTACCCAGTACGCGCACTCGTGTGTGTGTGCTCTTGTGTCCTCACAAGAAGACAAACTGAGAGAATCATGGAGAGCAAATAAATGGAGGGGCCACCCCTGTGGCGCGTGGCTCTGAAGCCTTCCTGGCGCAGCTGCCTTCTTACTGAAGTCGTACGAGAAGGAGTTCATAGGAGACACATGGGAAAGGGGAGGGAAAAAAGAGGCAACTTGCCCAGGTCTATATGCCCGGGGACCTTACAGGCAACGGAGGCCTCTCCAGAGACATCTATATACATTCTATGGAGAAGAATGCGTAGAATTACACACACCCCCCCCACCAATAGCTTATCTGTCGTGGACTTTGTCTTAAAGTCCAAATACCTCCTATTCCTTTCTTAGGGACAATATTGCCAGACGTCTCCCTGGGCTGACTTTCATCTTTAGATACTAATATTGTGGAATTCCAATGTATGACGCTCCGCTGCAAGAAGAAAAAAAATCAGCTATTCCATATAAGAAATCCCAGAGGGTTTGCTTAGTTTCTTTACAGGCAACCCTCTGGGTTGACGACGGAGGTGCCATCTTGAATCGGTGATGGTAACCTTGCCTATTCATGAATATCCAGATGCTTCGCCTAATGAAATCGAAAGATGACAGACGACATCCTTATCGGATTACTGAATAGGCAAAATATGCATGTGCCTCGGTCAAACCATGCCATTGGATATGATGCAAAACGAGATAAGGAGACAAGATTTCATTTACGGTTACTCCTCTCCTTCGCAAGATTGGGCGAAAGGTGGTGCGTGTTCTGCCTCGGGGCTCCTGGAACCTTAATCCGACCCTGTTTTTGCAACTGAGCCAGAGCACAGGGTATTCCCACCGGCAGGGATGAGAATGAGCGAGATGGGTGGGCAAAGCGGGATGACGATGACTCAGACTCTCAGTTGAAAGGACGACGTCATACACAGACGGTGCTCACGTGCAAGCACCTGATGGTACGGAGAGCGAGAGTGTCATGCGAGGCTCCAAGGGAGAGGAAGAATGCGCCTCCATTTCTCGATCGTCGCGCACCTTGCATTCACCATTGTTATTTGCTTTGTAGTTCATTTGAGGATTACATTTGTGATTACAACTTCTTCTGGAGATTTCGCAGTATAGCGAAGCTAAATCTATACGGTAACATGCATGTGGCAGTAACAGTAACAGATATGAATTTTTTATTCATACCTATCTCGATTCCGATCTGACGGGATTGGTTGAGGACTCGCCATGGTCGAGAGAGGCGAGTGTAACGTTTTTTCCGCATCTAACGCAATAGATCGTGCCTTAAGGGTTGCATAATTATTCTCTAATTAATTAAAGTATGATCTTGGTCAGAAAAAAAGTAACGGTTTAGAGACAAAATCGAACCGCCTCCTCCTCGGAGCCTCCACACTAAACCATGGGCCTCACGCTCCCGGCCCGCGGGCCGCATTCGCGTGGACACGCCCCGCCGCGAGTTTGTCGACCCCTGCGCTAAACTGATGCAATCTAAGAGCGTTAAAAGCAGGTTGAGATTGTTTCCATTTCGCGACGTGCTCATTTCCCTGCACGTGCGGCCGTCCACTCGGCCATGAACATCATCACTTTTTCCCTCTTTATTTTCAGCGTCGTGGTGTTTTTTCTTCACCGGAGGAGGGTAGGGGTTTAAAAGAACTGAAACGGTGAAAGCTTCGTGCCAGAGGATCCGCTAAACAGGGAGCGACGAAAGTGCATCATATCAAATTGATCGCCCCAAACCGAACGGAGCGACTCGTAAAAATGGCACAGACGGAAAGGATATTCCATTCACGGCGTTTTATGATCTTAATTGCAATATTTGGCCCCGTCGCCATGCCATAACTCGAAGGAAATGCAAATGATATTCGTAAATTCCATCCCACTCATAGAGCCACTGCCGCGACTTCAACTATCGACGAATGAAGTACGATGAAGTACGATGAAGTACGATGCTATAAAGGGGTAGGAACGTTCGGTATGTCCCCCAAGAGTCGGTTCGGCGTCGTCCTGGATTCGAGTACTTGTGCTTCGCAGTTTCATTTCCCGGTGTCTGTTCGTCAAAAAGCCAGTCTCGAAATCCCCTCTCAGTCTTGTGCGTGTACGATTGCGATTTTCTCGTTCGAGTTGCTTGGGTGAGGGGGCCAACCAGGGTTTTTTGCACGATCGCACTTGCGCAAAAGCGATCACATTTGGCGGACTTTTACGGATATCGGTTGTCATTACCTACTGAAATTCCTCCTCAGTGAACACAGTACTGTACACAGTAATTCCTTGTACTGCACACAGTAATTCCTCGAAGGCATGACGGAAGTTTGGGAATGTTACCGTCTGGACCTTGTGCGGGCCACCATGATGGTGGCCCGCAAGGGATGCAATGGTTGCATCCCTTGAACCCACTCGGATGAGAAAAGCCGAACGATCCCGAGGAAATGTTTCCTGGCTTCATCAGAGCTGCACGGTGCAGTAAAAATACGACGCGGTCTCACGAGCGTGAATTTCACAAGAAACTGTCGCTAATATGATAATATTTATTTTAAATAAACTATCGGTACTATATATACGATATCGGTATTATAGCTTACTTATTAGGTCACGGAATATGTTAGCAGGTTTCTAAACGAACTTGCACCAAACCGGAGGAAACGAAGCGCTTCGTCGTTGTGGAAAGATTCATCGTGATCTTCAGAGACAACCACTGTCGTATGTAAATCGCCCAGAGGTCTTATTTGACCCTGATTACCCTTGGCACCTGATCGCGTTAATGGAGCGTGGTGTCGACGGAGGCGAAGAAAAAAAATTTCATAATGTCCCAATGCAGCTCGCCGATGTCGCTTATCAAAGCTCGTTTCACGTATGATTCCAGGTGACGCCTCAGTCACGCCGATGGAGCATGGTGCCCATTGAGCGAAAAAAGAATTCTACGTGAGGTTGTATTTAGAAAGAAGTCTACTACGTGGAAACGCAGCCATAGGTGTTTCCCTCTGGGAAAGGAATTACCAAAATGAGGTTCACCACAGAAACATCAAGGGCGATCATCGTGCTCATACGAATGGAGGAAGACAGGGAAGATGCAGCGAACAGCACAGTCGCGATTCGCAAATCACCTTTTTTTTACTGCGAGGTCCCATATATACCTTACTTTTTTTTTTCATCTGCCAATGCGACTGCGATACAGAAAAACAATGGAACTTTTGAAGAACTCTCGCGCTCGTCGGCTCCCTTGCGTGGCTCGCAAATATGGAATTCTGCAATTCCAGAGATGGACCTCCCTCCACGAGGTGATGCCCGTCTTTCCTTTTTTTTTCTTTTTGTCTTTGCCCGTGCGAAAGCTGAGTGGCGACGAACTGGCACGAATCGCCCCGTATTTCCTCATGGACGTTTAAAATCCTTGGATTCCCGGCTCTGGGTGGGAGGCACGAAAGTGAGCGATGCCTCCCGGCTGCAGGTGGGAGGCACGGCCGTGAGCGATGGCAGCGCTTCCTATTTAGTACCAGGGCAACTCTCGTCTCCTTCTACGTCCGAGAGATGGCGAGACGAGAGCGAATCTCGGATTTCTCCGTGAAAGTAGCCTCCCCTCCCTTTCGTGATGCCGATTTGCAAATTTCATCTGTCAAAGGCACATCCTCGAATGATAAGGTAGAATTATGCTGAAACCCCCAATTTCATATCTTGAAGCGTTTGGCCTATAAAACTCTCTCGCACACCCACACGCGCTTTAGTCTCTCGACATAGCGGTCAGGATGGCGGCGCACGGTATATGTTTAACGTCCGGTTTGAATAAATGTGACAGGGCGTG